CTTGTTAGATAAATTCAATGGTCCTATATTAATATTATATCTTAGCAAATGGTGTAATTAAAATATTTCTTTATACATATACCTTTACCCACTTCCCTTTTATTTCCTATACTCTCAAACTAATTTCTTTTGATCATCGATTCCTCTGCCATTCTAGAAGCTTTCCATTGAAATATTTTTTACCTTTATTAATTAATTTTGTGTTTCTGTCTTTCAATATTGAGTTTCCCTTCCCCTTCCCTTGCCCGGCCATTGTCTCATTATATAAAAAACGAAGCAAAATGCGGACAATTTTAATTTACACCCTGAGAACACATAAAACGCCCTGCAGCTTCCCTCGGTCGCCCGCTTCCATAAAGCTAAAAATAATTTGCAGCAAACAAAACAGAGAAAAAGGAAAACTTGATTATTTTATAAAAATATTTTGTTACGTTAAAGAAAATTTTCACAATTTTTCTCGTTTGCTCTTTTTACCGCTGCCAATCCCCCCCCTTCGTCGCCCCTCCTTTCTCTTATTTCTTTTTCGCTGGCGCTTTGTCGATATTAAACGAAAATAAAATATAAACAGCAAAAAAATGCGACAAAAAATTGCAAGTTTTTCGTTTCTTTGTTGCTGGGGCGAAATACCTGTGTATCAGGTGGGTGGGGCTGAGGCGGTGAGGGGGTGTATTTGCCATGGGGTGGGAATTGTTATTGAATGCCATGCTCCGGCAGCTCGACAATTTTTTCCCATTGCATACTTTTAAGCGCAAAATCAGCTTAGGGGCTCATTATCCCAGCGTTCGTTCGTTCATTCATTTAATTTTTAATTAATTTTCCCAACGCCCGCAAAAATCGAAAAAAAGAAAACAAATTAATATAAGAAGAGGAATATGCATATATATATAAAATGTGGGCGTGGCGCGTTGGGGGGGGTTTTGGTAGCTGCCATCAACACTCGCTAGCTTTTGGGTATTTGTGGGCTTCTTTGAGACCTCCCACCACACTTCTCCCATACCCTTGGAAAACAACAAAACAAAAAATTATAAGAAAATTAAGAAAAAACGGGGCACAAAGGGTTGAGTGGGTTGGTTTTTCACCGAAGAGAGTCGGGGGGCTTCTTTGGCGGCCTGCCTTCTTTACTATTTAATTATTTTCGCTGCTCTTTTGAACCTGGCCTTTTGCTTACAACTTGTAAAATACTTATATAATAAAAACAATACGAAACAGTCGGTAAGCGGAAAAAAAAGCTATTAGGGGAATTTTAGATACTCTTTAAGAAAATTTCAAGAAATAATAATGGAACATTTCAGAAAATCATTTCTACTATGATTTTTTAGCAAAAGGAAGTTGATTAATTTAACTAGATAAAATATATAAATACAATAAAAAATATATAAATTGAAATTATGCAAGCAAAACTAAGTTTCGGGGTTTCTTAAATAAGTTTAAACCTAAATTTAACTTTATTTCTTAAACTAAATTAAAATTCTGATCAGTACAAGCCCAGGGTTAATTGTATAAATTTATAATAATGCATTTTCTTATTTTTACTTACTAAATACATTTATTCCACATCCTAAATAACAAACCTTCTCAAAAGAGTATTTAAAAAAAAAGAACAACCAGCTAAAAGCAAAAACGGAACCAAGAAGCGTTAATTGATTTTGTTTTATTCTTTTGCACTCTCTAAGCTCGCCACACAATGCTGGGAAAACGGAAAAGGATGTGTTTTTATTGGGGGAAAAAGAAAAGGAGGGCAACGCAAAAAAAATCAAAATACAGAACGAAACAGTGTAACAACCCTTTGCCAAAGTTTTTCCCTTTCTTGCTCTGCTCCTTTTATGCTTAATTAAATATTCATCAAACACACAATGGAAAACTTTTAAATACTCATCAAGTTTGCGGGCATCGTCGTCTTGGGAAACAGCAAGGAGCCCCATCCTTGGATTTTCAGGGAAACTGAGAAGATGAAGCCAAGGATGAAGCTCATATGTTTGTCTGGGTCTGTCCGCTCTAATCAATAACAACAAATCGCCGTTTACTTTGCATTTTAAATCTGCCTTGCCTGGCCATTGCACAGAGCTAATACACAGTGAATAATTTGTATTAAATTAATGTGAAATAATTTAAAATTTATATCACACTTTAAAAGGGTTTTTATTAAGCTAAAAATCTTGACTTAAATATTTTATAATATTTTTAAAAGATTTTTAAATATATTTAAATGAATATTAACATACAGAAACTTGTAAGAAATTCTCAATTCTTCTTTCAATGTATCCACACACACACATTCATAGCTCCTGAATTATTCCCCTTTGGGACATTAAAAACTCATTTCCCACCCGTGAGGAACCAACTCTCAACCCTTTCCTTCTCCCAATCAGATTTTCTTTCTACTTTGTTTGTTATTTTTGTTATTTAAGCATATGCAAAAGTTGCCCCACCCCTGAAACATGTACAAATAACCAGAACAGGCTTCTATAGTCTACTGTTCAGTTAGATAAACTTTAAATAGTTCTCAAGTGTGTGCGAATGATTTTCAGGGAAGGAGTTGCATTGGAGGACTAAGGGTTGCTTAGCGGCTGATGGGTTGGCTTATAAGTGTTCGTGAATCCATTAGAAATCACATAAAACTATGAGGTTCTGTTTACTTTGGCTTTTTGCTATTTCTTCTATTGTTTACTGTGGAAAAGTTGGGTCGAGGGGGATTTTATTGGCTCTGGATTACAGGAGTACTAGAGTAAAAGTGAAGGAAAAGGTTAAAATAGGGAAAAGGAAGTATTTTAAAAGATTTGATGGACTTGTACATTTTTATTAATTTTAAAATAATATTTAAGCCACAAAACTTTAACTTCTAGGGCTTTCAAAATATTGTTATTTATGTCTGAATTCATAGGAAAAAGCATGCCTGAATTCAAAAATAATAGAAACTACACAAAAAGCATTTATAAAATTGAATTTGAATTAAAAACATAATAAATATTATGAAAATTATGGAACTTAACAGAACATTTCTTACTTACAATTATATCAAAGTACAAAAGTCCTGCTGTAACTTCTTAAAGGACTTTTGTATTTTCTTGTCTCTATAATTCTTTGAAATCTATTTATCGAAGACGATGGACTTAAGCCTCTTCTTACCACAAATACTCAAACATCTCTTCGGAAATAATTGAATTATGCCTGGTAAATGCATTAAAATTCCCTCTCAGCCGGAAGAAGAAACCAAAACTCAACTCCCATCTGTCATCTAAATACTCAAGCTCTCTGCTCGCTTCGGTTCGTCCTTGATTTAATTGATTTCCGTGGCTCTGTGACAGCTCGAGCCAATCGACAGCTTTCGGTAATTGCAAGCCGAATAAACCCCTTTTGACGAAAAGAGTCTGCGACAAATGCAATTAACCAGCCGTAACGCCCACACACATTAGGCCGACGAGGGCTTTTGATGTCACTTTTGGCATGTGAATTTATATACGAATATGGTAGCTGTGCCTAGGTGGAGTCGTATATGTTATATCCCAGGGACATCAAACGCTTCTGCCTCTCCTCATATGTGAAATATTTGAAATGTCATGAGCAACGTGCTCTGTTTTTGGGCCTGACAGCAATTACACAAATGTAATTTGCAGCTAAATGGAATGTTTTTAATGAATTTATATGCCCTGATATGAAATATATCAGAGTGATGCAGAAGGGTGAGCTCTGTTTGCCACTCAAACCAAATTCAAGTACATACCCACCGATTGCTATTTATAATTCCCTAAATAATTATTGGTAGTTCCCCTTTAAAAATAGATTTCCCATTCCTTTAGCACTATTTTTAATAATTCTTGGGGTAGGTCGTTGAACTAACTTTAATATCTTTATTTTTTGTTAAGTATTTTGGGTTGAATGTACTCCCAAAAATATGTATTTCACTTCTGCACTTTCGGGTGAACCCCAAATATTGTGAGTATTTAGTTTTCGGGTATTCTCATTCAGTTGTTGTGCTTGATCCCTCATTGTTTCTTTGGAGGCTGGTACACTATTCATAAAAAAGTATGTTAATATCGCGAGGAATTCACTTCCAGGGGTTTTCTCAAGTTCAATTGTGATTTGCATGTCTATGCTTGCTTACGTACCTTCAAGTCGTTATTCTATGAAGGAAGCATTAGCTAACTCTATTGACCTAGAACTTGAGCTTTTTTATGCCCGAGATTTGAGGAGACAAAGCGAGGTTTGCTTAAGGGTTTTGATATTTTGAAATATTTATGTATTTTTTATGTTTTAAAAAAATTGTTTTAATAATTATTTGTACAAATTTACAAACAAAACACTTTAATATTTTAAAGTATTTTAAGGTTCAAATGATTTTAATTTTTTTTTAATAAAATTAAAATTATTTTATTATTACAAAATTTTTAAATATTTTTACATAGAATATGCTCTTTTTTTATTTCTGAATTTTTTAAAAATATTTTATTAATTTTTGTGTGTTTCATTTGCCATATTCAATAAAAAAAATTAAAATGACCAATAAAAATATGATATTAAAAATAATTTAAAACTTATGTATAAATTTTAGAACCAAAATCTCTAAATATATACATTTTAAAATTTATTTTTAACAATTGATAAATATATATAGTTAATTTGATTAATTTGATTAATTATTAATTTATTAATAATATTATTATATATAAAAAAAATAAAACCTCAGATGAATTCTTTGTAGTCTAGTGTATTTCGGGTGAAAACAAGAGTTTCTATAGTTCTCAGTCGCTCGCTCACCTTTTTTTCCGTTTCCCCCCTTAAAGGAACCAATAAAATTACAAAGCTTTAAAAATAAATAATACGAAATTATCTCGACGTCATAAGCAGCAGCAGAGAGAGAGGTGGAGTGAGGTGAGAGATGTTTTCCAGTTGAGAGGAAATTAGAATCTGTGAATCTGTGCGTCCAATGACGCCACTTTGGCTGGGCTGGCGTATATCTATATAAAGCTGGAGATCGGCCAAGCTGTCGATCAGTCGCCGAGATGAATCAGGCCTCTCTATATCAGCACGCCAACCAGGTGCAAAGGCACGATGCCAAGCTGATACTGGACGAGTTTGCATCGACGCTACAGTGGAGATCCGATGGCGAGGACGCACTCCTGGACGTTGGTTCCGGTTCCGGCAATGTGCTCATGGACTTCGTGAAACCCCTTCTGCCGAGTCGCGGCCAACTGGTGGGCACCGATATATCCAGCCAGATGGTGGGCTATGCCAGCAAGCACTATCAGCGGGAGGAGCGGACCAGGTTCCAGGTCCTGGACATTGGGTGCGAGAGACTGCCGCAGGAGCTAAGCGGAAGATTCGATCATGTCACCTCGTTTTACTGCCTCCATTGGGTGCAAAATTTGAGGGGAGCCCTTGGCAATATTTACAATCTTCTGCGTCCCGAAGGTGGCGATTGCCTGTTGGCCTTTCTGGCCTCCAATCCAGTGTACGAGGTCTACAAAATCCTCAAAACGAATGAGAAATGGTCGGGCTACATGCAGGATGTGGAGCAGTTTATATCGCCCTTGCACTACAGCTTGAATCCCGGCGAGGAATTCAGTCAGTTACTCAACGAAGTGGGTTTTATACACCACAATGTGGAAATACGCAATGAAGTGTTTGTTTATGAAGGCGTGCGGACTCTCAAAGGTGAGTTAACTACTTGGATATTTTAGTAATACTTTTTAAAAAATATATATTTATAATTTCTAGACAACGTTAAAGCCATTTGTCCTTTTCTCGAGCGCATGCCTGCAGCTTTACATGAAGATTTCTTGGACGATTTCATAGAAATTGTCATATCGATGAATTTACAGCAGGGAGAAAGGAATCAGGATCAAAAGTTTCTGTCACCCTATAAGCTGGTGGTAGCCTATGCCAGAAAATCTCCAGAATTTGTTAATAATGTTTTGCTAGAGCCGCCACATCAGAGCATTTTCAAGGGAGTTGATTAGTTAAGATTGTTATAAACATTTTATAAACACTTACAGAGTTTAAAGAGTCTATTAACGCCAAATGATGCACTTAACTAACATAATTATAATTTTAGTACGCAAAGTTCCTATGATATGTCAGGCATAGTAGCTGAGAGCTTACATAAAAAACAAAGTCAAGAAATAAATAAAAATTATTAAACTATTTCTAAAGCTTTTCTTCTTACTTCAAGAAAAACTACTACAAAAAGTTCCTATTTAAATTTCAGAAATAAATTAATTGTTTTTAAAATAAAAATATATTTTCTTATTAATTAAAAATAAACGTAGTCTGTCATTCTGATATATATTTTATAATTCCCTAGACTGGTTATCCAAGTTATTTTACGTAAATGTGAATATTAAGCTTACAACGAATTGAAAATGTAATCGAAAATTCCATTTGATGTATCATTTATAGCGCGACTCGGGCATTATAATTGCTGCTTTTGACAGAACCAATTATTCAAACAACAAGTTTAAGTCTCTCTAGCTCTCGCTCTCGATTTCCTATACATTTATACATATTTATAAACATAGTTGTAAGGGGTTAAACTCTCACTCTCGTTACGACTTTTCATCTTTCGGGTGAGCTTAGCGTTAAAAACCGCGTGCGTCTTAGCCGCGTGGCGTTTCCCTCGCGATTTTGATGAATCAAACTTTTCCGCAGACAGAAAACCGCCCGCTGGGCGGGAGGGGGAAACTCCTGAAAAGGGTTGAAAATGTTGCGAATTCAGTCTAAGAACAATTTTAATTGTTTTTCGTTAGGTTTTTTTTCGGTCGTGCGTGGGCACTACGTATGTCAGGGTTTTGTTGCGGAATTTTCAAAATGAGTTATTAACGCGACGATGTCGACAGAAATGCGCATTCATATCATTTATCAGTGGGTTAAGAAATTTTCAGTGGGGTCTGGGTGAGGCGTGAGTTTGTCTAGCTTCCAGGCAATTGGCAGTTCATCCGCAGAAGCCCCAAACCCATCCTCTTCTTTGGCAGTAAATGTTTGTCTTAATCTTTGATTTTTGTTTTCGTTTGCATTTATATCCCGAACTTACCCTCGGAAAATCCCTTGGTTTCTGGCAAATGTAAACGACAGGAATTAATTTAGATAAATGATTTCTCAAGTGCGCCGGCTCTGAGCTTCAGACGATTTGCCGCCTGTCAGTCAAATGGGATTCTACATTTTCTCCCGGTCCGCGTTGGGGCGTGGCATGCGATTTGTACAGAGCCCCACCCCCGTCGAACGGGGATCTTGGCCCTGGAACTTACACCAGCCGACACAACCCGTCTCAAAATTGTTTTCGCAAACAAATTTTCGTATTGAAATTTGATTTATTTGTTAATTTGTTTGTAATGAATTTTCCGTTTGCTCCGTTGACTGCCTGCGGGGGAGGAGGGGTCCTCCAGGATTTCGTTTGGGGTGATTGGTATTGGTTGCTCTTTAATTGCCTGTTCCTGGCATTTCGGATTTTCCTTCTCTCTGCATCATTTGCTCGGCTAATTTTCTTGTAAAATTTTTGGTAAGGGAAATTGTTGTGCCTTGGCTTGGAAAAAACAATTGGAAAATTTTTAAAGCCAGCAGATAAGATTCCCTTTTTATTGGGAATTTGTTTATTTGATTTGAAAATATACTGTGTTCTAAATAAAATTTAATTAATTTATTTAACTATTATTCTTTTAATTTAAAATAATTATTTCAGTTAAAACCTTTATAAATAAATAAAAAGTCTATGTTTTAGTATATATATATTTTAAATATACCTTTCCCATTTTTCTTCCCCAAAAGTTCTTTATTTTCCCAGATCTGCCCAACAGTCGTATGCGCAATTTGCTGACCCCGCGTTTTGTCGTCGGTTGACCCACCCAATGATTCCGCTGGCCGATTCCGGAGGCGTAACCTCAAAAACAAACACCGAATACCGGAACCGAATGACGGCGGATGTCGTGTTTATACACACACATGTGTATATGCTATATGTAACTGTGTTTGTGGGACGGGGGCGTGTGCATTTGGCTGAAGTTCAAACAAATGCGTGGCCATCGAAATGAAATGTCGGGATTTTCAGGTGGCTTTCCCTCCCGCTTTTCCCTTTTTAGCAACTGACCATTCATTCTGTTTGAGTTTACTTAGCGGTTTTGTTGACTCTCTCTGGCGGTTTTGATTGCGTTTTCCATATGCAAATGCGAAAAGGACGAGCCTTGGCTTGGCCTCTATCTATTTAATGGCCACCAAAATGCAATTACACTCACATAACACAACAAAAGCGGAAGGGAAATGTGCCTCATTATAACAAATTATAGAAGGAATATTGTAATTTACTTTCGGTCTCTTGGTATCATGTGCGGCTTTTTATTAAAAATTCAACACTAACGAGGCGCTTTTGTTTTTATAGCAAAAAGGAGTGGCACAGACTGCGTGCCAGTGTGTTTGTGTGTGTGTGTGTGTGTCGACCTCTCTTGGCCGTCTCTTTCTGGCCAACTCTTGCCATCTCCTGACATCTTCCTGCTGCTGTCCTTTGCGTTGGCAAATATGAATTTTAATAAATTATATTGTAATATGACAAAAACGGTTGCGTCGACTACTGGCAGTGGCGTAAGGCTTAAAGGGGTGTTGAAGGGTTTACGTTTACGTTTTTATTTGGTTAAAATAAATTAAAGCCAGATTAATTGAAGAAGAATAATAAAATAGGTATATATTTATTAGTAAATATTTTTAAAGAAAATAAAAACTATTTATCCAACACTTTCTGGTTGCCAAATACATTTTCCTTTGAAAGAATTATTGCCACCTTTTTAGCTGTTATTATATGAATTCACTGCCCTCAAAAGAGAGAAAGCCACTTCCCTGTACCGCCCCCAGTGAGTCCTTGTGTCAATCTTCTAGGCCCGCAGTCAGGAACTCATGAATTTTTCAATAACAAAATGTTGTTTCTAAAAAAATGTGCAGCAAAATTGTAGAAAAATTTCTCAAAAAATTTGTTAGCCAACTTGCAGCTAATTATGGGCACCAGGGGAAGCAACCGGAAACCCTTTGGGATGTCGAGTTAGCCCACGCTTAATCCTTTTCATTCTCCTTTTTTTTCCTGTTTTGCTTCCGTACTTCATTACGTTTCAGCTTTGGGTTTGGTTTGGTTTATTTTAATTTCATTTTATGATTTAACTTTACACCTGCTTGAAAAACGACACACCCACACAAGGACTCTGGACTGCACTTCAATTAAAAACCCGAGTCCTGGCCAAGGCACTTAAGTGCTTTTTACCTCCTTTCCCCCCTGAGCAAAAAGGTGTGAGAACGTTTCTTTTGCTCAAATTATTTCAACATTTTCCCCGGAATAAGGGAAATCAGAAAAAAGGGACAACAGTAATATGAAGATTTCTGCCGAAAGAGTTCCTGGCATGCCGGGTCAAGGGTTTACCAAAAAAGCAATGGGTTTTGGTTGGGGCCCCGGGATCTGGGTTCGGTTTTTCGGGCTTCGTAGTCAACGTCCAACACTTCGTGGGGCAAATCTTCGTGTAATCGGATAAGGTAATTGGAGGCTTTGTCTAGACATTAAGTGTACATAGTAAATTTTGCTTTTCCCCAGTTTTGTCCAAGAGATGACTGCCAAATGCGGATGGATATGGGTTCTCCGGTAAGGCACTCTGCATAGTGGGTAGAGATAGTCATAAATGGGAGTTTTGAAAAGCAATATCTAAGATATTTCTTTAAATTAAAATATATATACCATAATTTGTGTTTAGTTGGTATATATCTTATAGCTTTAGTAAATGGATAATTAATTATTAATATTATTATATATTTTAGCTGTAAGTTGCCCATTGTACCCACCTCCTTTCCCATCAATCAGCCTCACTGTGGAAACCCTTTCGCTGTTCGCTCATAGAAACTTTTGTATGGCAACACATGTTCCTTTCCGCAGTTGAAAGCCAGTGGTCCTCCATCCTCTTGGCCAAGTAAGTGGGGAACCAACTCCAATCACTTGAACGAACAACTGCGACGGCTTTTAATAAATCGATTTAAATTTCTGATCATAGTTTCATCTCTGGAGAAATTTAATAGTTTTTCGCAATAACATTTTATGTGCGGACGCATACCCAGGACGCAGGATCTCCACATCATCCACTCTCTGTAGCAGTTCAACAAGAATCAGTACACAGTAAATCATTTTTCAATTAATAATAAAATTAACTAAGAATTAAAAATGGTTTTCAGAATTTTAAATTGAGATTTTATAGAAAAATTAATACAAATAAAATAATGTAGATATTAAATGTAGAGCTTAATATATATAAATAAAAATAAATATTTTGTGGAAAAATGTATTAAAAATTTATTAAAAGCTAAAGGTTATTTGTAATGGTGATATAAATATTAAATAATTGTAACTTAGGGATTTTCAATAGAGTAAACTGAAAAATATTTATACATTATAATGATTATGTGCACTATAAAGACATTTTCTGAATTATATATATTATTAACTTCCTGATGCATCTTTGAATTCCATATATTTTTTTCAAGTGCATTACTGAAACCCAGCAGAACTAGCGAAAACTACCCAACTAAAATAATAAGAGCGGCAGCCACAAACTTGGGGCCCGGCACGTTGGCCAAGTCCAAACAAAGAAACTGTAAAGTTTACGGGTCACACGATGTGCCAGGAGCTCTACGGGGATACCCCTTTTCTGTTTTCTCTCGCTCTCTCTCTCTTCTCTCCTCCATTTTGGCAGGACAACGACGTCGCTGCAGCTTCCTGTGCATGGCAATAAAATTACTTTAGCCCATAAGTATGCTACAATTTTACGTACGAGCTCCCAGCTTTTGGTCGCAAGTGCGGCAAATAGTTTTGCCGCCACGCCCCCTGGTACCCCAGAAACCCTCTCTCGCCTCCTTCTCTCACTGTCTCGCTCACAGTTTCTCTGTTTCTCCCTCGCCGAGACACACATCATAATTAATGCAAAGCTGGCAAATGTATGCAACACCTGCGGTTTGTTTAAAACGACCACAAGCATTCCCCACTGCAAGATCCTTTACACACAAATATACACAGAGCCACTAGGATATTTTGCAGCCAATTTTGGTTATTGAAAATATTTGGTCAAGTCTCTGACATTTTATGATTATTTAACTGCAGGAAGTATGAAATATATCTTTATAGTGTTTAAGATTATGCAAGAACCCCTTAAGATCTTATTGGGAATGAAAACTAAGACTAAAAACTATTTATTAGACTTTATATATTATTTTTTATATTTTCTCCAGAGAGAACTTTGTTTTAATTGCATAGCTTTTGGTTTGGGATCAAAGAATGCCCTGTCTTTAGTGTCCAAGGTGTCGTTGCCTCGATTTTCAGTTGGTTTTCTTCTCTGTTGACGAAATCTGTTCAAAACGGTTCTCGTAAATCCCTCAAAGATGCCAGAAAACTTTAAATTCACTGATGCTTTCAACAGTCAGACTGTGCGCGGTCGTGCTAATGTAAGTAACCTCAAGGATTCTTTATTTCCTAGAGAGCTCTTCACAGTTCAAGCTACTCTTGCAGGTAGCCAAGGCCACCTGGTTATCGGTGGGGCTGATCTACCTGCTGGTCAAGATGCAACGGAACAAATCGAAGCGCCTAGATGCCAAGCTCTACTGCAAGGGATGCCAGCAGGTGCTGCCAGGCTAAGCTGTTAAAGGGTTAATTCCTCATCATATCATCAAGGGGAATTAAAAGTTACAAAATCTCGTGTTATTTGCTAGGTTAATAATCATAAAATACTGTCTAAAAAGCATTAAAATACAGCTAAATCAAGCTGAGAAGAAATATTATAATTTAACTCTGAATTATACTTTCTCTATAATTTAAAACTCCTCCCCAAATGTCTCTTATTTTCCTTTTATTTAATTACATTCGGAAACCTTTTTCGATTTCTAACCAATAAAATTCCAATTTCATTGCAATCATTTTCAATACGCTTCGCTTTTCAATTTGAATGCCCGAGGGTCAATAAAAATTGGTTTTTCAATTTGCTTTGGCATATTCCTGTTAGTCTTGCGGTCAGTTGAACAGGACTATATGCCAAAAAAAACCCTTATATAGACCCCAAATCATCCTGTTGGTCGACAGCCGTTGACGCGATGACGACACAAGTTGTTTGCGGTTACATTTTTCTGTCGCATCATGCGATTCTTGCTTGGGGGGAAGTTAACTATAATTAACCAGTTTAGCTCTCACATTCCCGGCAATTGCCAATTGTTTTTTATATATATTTTTGGACCCTTTCTGTTCTGCTGTTATCCACTAATTAATGGTCTTTTGTTTTTTAGTTGACATGCAAATGAGTTGCTTGTTCCGAGGCATTGAGTTGTTGTCCTCCACACGTCAATTAAGCCTGGCATCGATGTCACAGAAGAATAAGGCTTCTGATGAGACTGTAAATTGAAGGTTTTTCAAATTATTTCGATGACATCATTTGTGGTTTTCATATATAGGGATAACTAAGGAGTTGGTGATGTTGATTTTGGGAGGCAATTGAAAGGATTACGTTTACAAATATTTTTTAAATATTTATTTAATGCTAATTTTAGGTTGAATCTGTCCACCCAAATCGGTATACTAAAGGGATTTCTTGGATATAAAGTATAATATGATTAATGTTTACTAGAAATATTTTACCATCTTACAAGTATTCTTCTCCAGTTGCTTCATGATATACACTACTGGCCGAAATAATAAGTACATGCGTATGTGGTTTGTTTCAAGTCCTATAAAATTTGTTTGATAAACTTAAGGAAAAAACCCAATTTATTTTTAGTTTCCGTACTTATTCCAGATAATAAAAATAACTGCCTAAAGGATTTTACATTTCAAATTTAGAGACAGGGGTCAATTTTATCCAAAAAGCATGAAAATGGGCTGGCTGAAATAATAAGTACACCCATTCTTCTAAGTCTAGAACTCGGAAAGTATTAGATATTTTTCACTTTTTTCTTCTTATAAGTAAACTTAGATTAGTATCCAATAAAACCACACTCGTTTTAGGTAACTTTCGCTATTATTTTTGGCATTCTAGCAAGAAGTCTGTTGCAAGTCACTACTAGAAACTCAGACCATGTTTCTTCAGCAAATCTTCACAAATCTTCAAAATTTTTAAATGTATTGGTTACAATACGACGTTTTAAGTTTCCCCATAAATTTTTGATTAGGTATGAGTTCGGAAACTGACTTTTCCAACCCATGAGGTTACTTTTTTGTCCCTAAACCAGGCCATGATGACTTTTAAGGTTTACTTTGGATCGTTATCTCGTTGAAAAATCTATCGGAAGGGCATGTTTCCCTAAGCATATGGTTAGAAGATGCCAGTTAAAAAAGTATTATTTTCGAATTCGGTCGTAATACCATTTATGAGATGTATTTGCACAACGCCATGCCAGGAAAAACAGCCCCTGACCTTTATGCATCTGTTTCCGGGCTTAACTTTTATTTTCGCGTTTCAAAGCTGAATTTTTTGACTTTCGTTTGACGTACAAACCGTCTAGAATCGTTTTCAAAAAGAAATATTTTTGTTTCATTGCCCCAAAGTATTTTGTTTCCACCTCCGGTTCAGACCATACCAAAAAAATGTTGCAAAGCTTTTGCTTCATCTGAAAAAATTTTCCTTGAAGTAATAGAACCTTTTGGGTGTACGTCCTTGTAATCCTGTCTCATGCAGTCTACGACAAACTGTTCGAGCTCAAATTTAAATGTCAATTTCGCCGGAAATGGCCTTGGATGACCAAACAGGTCCTTTTTGGCAAGAGAGAGGTAACTGTTATGAGATGGTCAAGTCAGTCTCCTGTCATAAACCTAAACTAAACATTGTGGGGAAACTTAAAACGTCGAATTGTAACCAAAACATTTTAAAATGTTGAAGATTTGTGAAGATTTGCTAAAGAAACCTGGTCTCAGCTTCTAGTACTGACTTGCCACAGACTTCCTGCTAGAATGCCAAAAATAATAGCGAAAGTTACCTAAAACGAGTGTGGTTTTATTGGATACTAATTTAAGTTTACTTATAAGAAGAAAAAAGTGAAAAATATCTAATACTTTCCGAGTTCTAGACTTAGAAGAATGGGTGTACTTATTATTTCGGCCAGCCCATTTTCATGCTTTTTGGATAAAATTGACCCCTGTCTCTAAATTTGAAATGTAAAATCCTTTAGGCAGTTATTTTTATTATCTGGAATAAGTACGGAAACTAAAAATAAATTGGGTTTTTTCCTTAAGTTTATCAAACAAATTTTATAGGACTTGAAACAAACCACATACGCATGTACTTATTATTTCGGCCAGTAGTGTATAATTAAAAAACAAACTTCAATCATATTTCTATACGAGCATTTTCAACGCCTTTTGGCTTAGAATAAAAAGGGTAGTAGAAGGGCAGACTTTCCCGGAAAATCAACTCACTCCACATTCAAAAGCCGCTGCTCAGCAGTGGGGCAGCAAATGAAACCCGACATCGATTTTGTTCTCAAGTTACACTCGCTTTTGTTTACACAAAAATTATGTTTAATGAGCAGCAACCCCGAACTTCATGGACCCAGAGCATCTTCTCCGGGGTTGGCTCGGCGGCAACACAACTGACAATTATAATTACAAGGTCTTAAGTTTTTCGTGAAAATTATTATTTTAATTATGGGCCGCAAGTAAAGGAGAGGGTGGAAAAGCAGGGCAAAAATTCGATACATTTACGACTGGCGGGGACAGTGTGACAGATCATAAATTCAGCGATTTGAGTGATGTGTTTGTGCGACAATAAACTAAACGAAATATTCCGCTTTATACGATTGTCATTCCCCAAAAGGGAAAGGGGAAATTGCAGAGAAGGAACCATCTAATCAAGTGACATAATCAGTTTTTATGGGTACCCAGGCAATCATAACTTTTTCACATACATACCGTCGTATATGGGTATATCCTGTAATATTGACTTGACTTTTATTTTCGCACGTTGATAATTTTTATTTCCTGCTGCTTCGCCGCCAGAAGATAACTTGGTGCGTATGTCCTGTGCAAATAAAATACATTTTTGCTGCGCTTTTATTTCCCATCAAGAAGTCGCACACAGGTCCGGTCCGTCCTTGGTGTCCCCCCTTTGTAATAATCATTTATTTAATGTGCCAAAACATTTATTATTTCCGTCGACCGGCGGAGTCCTTGCTTGTGCTTTCTTTACTCCGTCTGGGTTTGTATCTGTGTGCGTGGGAGTCCTGGGAATGGTCAAAGTTAGATTGGACCATTTTCGCCTAATGAATCTAATTGAGTCTAACAAGTGGCCAAGGCACATCATGTTAATGCTAATGTCATAGCCCCCAACAGCAGTGACCTTCATGTTCTCGGTTGGGTCTTAAAGAGGGGCTTATTTTATTGGGAAAGGAAAAAAAGGTTTGCTATTTGTGTAGTAATTAGTAATGTAATGAAGAAGCAGCCTCAAATTCTACTGGAAATTCTAATAAACTAAAGATATTGAAGCTTTTCCATCTTATTCCCCAGCTAATTTCATCTTCGATTCATAAATTCCCCTATAAATTCCAATAATTTTATGAAAAATTACAATCTCCTCTTATAAAAAACCCCCAAAGCTAAAACTGGGCAGTAAAAACTGACTGGATTCAGACTCAAACAAAAATAAAGCCAATAGCAAAATGTTAAACGAAAAATATTTCCAACTCATTGATTGCCCTACTCCACGACCTGAATATCCTCTGTTTGCATTTTTGTGTGTTCAAACAGTAAAAAAAAAGAAAGAACAGAGAATGTGCCATTGGGTGGGTGTATGTGTACTGTACAGTATGCCCTCGGTGCTCAGTCTATGAAATAATGAACGCTTGAATGATTGCATACTTTTTGGCTGCTTGCCGTTTAACATTTTCATTGCCATAACTTGTGTTGTTTATTTTTTCTCGGTTTCTTGTTCGTATATGAAAAAATACCAAAATCGGTTAATGTTTATTGAAAAAGCATAAAATTCGTTCTACCAGAATGGAAAATATGCTTTTGATACAATTATTGTTCCTATCTGCAGGCGCCGGCCCTGAAAAACGCACCCCAAACCTAGGAACTGAATCCTCACCCTCACTCTTGCGAATCCAGTTCGAATTTTTGTTGTATGCTCTTTCAGGGGGTATTATAAGATTGTATACTCTTGAATATATAAATATAAATGTCCTTAAATTATAATTAAATTTAAAAAAATTTAATTAAAGTTCCCTTTAATTTAAATAAGATTTTTAGTTTGAGAAAACAAATGTCAACTTAAGAAGCTTTGCTCCTGGAATATTATTTGAAGCTCTTTTATATAAGCTTAAAATATTTTAAAAAATGTATTTTGTTATCCTAGAAGTGTGTCTAAACTTCGTTTTCCCGACTTTGTTTAGGCTTTCTCGTTTTTAAATTTGTTTTTTCTTTTGCGCTCTTTTTTTCGTTTGAGTTCATTTTTGCCCCCCGGCTAGCTGTTCTTTTTCTGGCTGCGACCCCGAAGGCCTGCAGTTATATGGGTCGCTTGACGTTGATAACAATCCTGGATAATATGCGGCAGCCAGCGAGATGAATCCTGAATCCTGATGCGGCTCTAGGAATCGGCTTTAGCCTTGGGTTTGGCCAAAGCGGAAAGCAATTTCATGGCCATGAGGTGGAACAATATTGAAATGGAATGGGGATGAATGATTTTAGAGGAGTTTTTTAGATTTTTTAGTTACGTTATTGGCATATGAGATTATTATTAGGGAATATAATTCAGAAAATGTATACTAATTTATTACCAGTATTTGCATTTTCTAAATTACTTAAT